TGCAAATTTCTACCTATTCACACTTACGGGGTGCACTTTTTATGCATGGCCGTACGATTGGGACTGTGTGGGAACGTTTTCACGTGATGTCTACTTCGTAACGGACATGACTAGCAGGGAATTCGCATATACCTTAAATGATTCCCCCCTCCAAAAAAAAAAAAATGATGATGATGATGAGGATGCGGCTTGTTCCCTTTGAAACGGGTCAGCGCGAACTAAGTTCGTGCCCAAGCCTGGGAGCGAGGAGGTCTTAATGCCCCCTGAGGTGGATCTTATTCCACCAATCTTCAAGTCTTCGTTTAGTGGCCACTACAAGCCCGTGCCGGCCGCTAGAACGCCCCTTTATCTGCGTAGCAGCAGAGCTTTGTGCATCAGAGTAGTCTGCTTGGTTGCGCCCGATTTCAGTAATTGTGAAGCCCAACGCCTCATCGAGCACTAAGGGGCTCTGCAGGCATGGGCACCAGGACGGCTGAAGTCTCGCACAATCTAGCACAACGTGCTCCACCGTTTCATCGTAGCCTCCGCAGACCCGACATGCGCTCGAGGTCACCGTAGCATCAAACCGGCGTCTGTAAACTAGTGTCCGGAGGGCCCCGGCGAGCGCCTCATGGTGAATTCGCGTGGTCGCCTCTCTCCTCTGACCTCGATTCAGCAGAGCGCCCCCTCCTCGCCGCCAGAGCTGCTCGGGATCCTTTTCAGCCGATCACAACTGCTGGCTTCAGAGCGCTCCGATATTCTCAGACCAGTCACGGAATTAAAATTTCTGGACATTGATAATGCATTAAAAACAACACAATCTTGCAGCGTACGGTGGACGATTGAGCAAAATTTACGCTCGCAACATGATGAAATAACGGTTTTGACGTAAATTGTTTTACTCATCGGCATGTAAAAAAAAAAAAAAAACAGTATGCGAATTGATTTTTGCAGAACGGAACGAAAGCCACCGCTTGGAAACAGTTGTCAACTCATCGCGTTTTCGACAGTGAACGCACTGCGATAGCGGTCATGCGTACGACGGACGGCGAAACATCGTGCAAGCATCGCAATGTGACACAAATCACTCTGCATTATATTCGGCTCTCCCTTTATTTTACAATACAAACCTTTGAACGCACTTTTACCAAACCTCAAAAATTTCTTGAAGCGACTACAAAATCCGGTAAAACAGCGGCGAGCTCTGCGGGCTTTTTCGTCGTCGGTTAGGCTTAGCGGATTCACCGCCGTGAGATGAACGAACTTGTGAAAGCACTGGGAACACTTCACACGTCGGCTTTTCCTCTTACGGTCGCAATCGAATGTCATCCCGGCCGTTGTAATCCTCGCACCGTCGAATGCACAAGCACTTTGTAGAACCACATATCAATCACCGTCATGCCGGACCCCGCACACCACCACAGACCACTGCCGGCCATCGTCAACGAAACAACGTGATCACCGTCCAGCTACCACTGGACACCTGCGCCGCTCCGCACTCCGACGGCTACAGACGGAGTGCCAGAGAGCGCTCTGAGAGGGAGAGGCGCCCTCGGAATGAACCACCCGATCAGGCCACAGCACTCTCTTTCAACCACCCGATTTCGCGCGCTCTGGAAAGAGCGCTCGAGAGCGCGCAGAAAGAACCACGCGAATTCGCCATCAGACAACAAGCGGCTGCCCAGGCTGTTGTCGTACAGCAGTGCTTCCGATACGATGGTTCTTTTGCGGTTCAGGTACACTTGGAGCGTCGACTTTGTTTTTGCGTCTCGGAGCCATTGTTGGGCCTCGTTGTCACGGACTTTCTTCTTAACCTCTGACGCCTATTCCCTTTCTGATGACGCTTCAATGGGGTCAGAAAAAAAGCCATACTTGTGCTCAAGTTGATGCAGGCGCTTCTGCCAGCGTGTCCGCAGCCCCGTCAGGTGAGTGTAAATACACAACCTCCTGGCCCACCCGCAGCTGTCCATATGGCGAAGACGCCCGTAGTAGGTAATTTTGCTGGTTGCCTCCCGACCCTCAAAGGAGGACCAGCCCAGCTCTCCCTGAACTGCCTCGCTGGCGACCAATGCCTGGCGTCCAATCTCTCTCTGTCGGCGTTCCATATGGGCTCGGACATCACCGGGAACGCATACTACGGCCTTTGCAAATGTCAGTCCAGGTACTACTACCGCTTTCCAGAGCTCCCGGGACACAATGAACCGATTGCAGCTCCAAAGGCTTCGCTTACGGAGAATGTTGGTTCCTCGTGTGGCTGCGTGGCGAAGATAAGTGTGGTGGTCTTGTAGGGTAGTCTGCCGCATTTGACAGTGTGATACGATATATAATATATATATATATATATATAAATAAATATAATAATAAACAAGGTTTTTTATCACAAAAATAAACCTCCAACCTCACCGAACGCTCGTTCTCCGCCCAAATGTAGCGGTAGTGATCCGTACCAGAAGTCAAAGTTTTATAACTGACTGTTATCTCATTCACAAGTTTTAACCGATTTTCCGAAATTTTCAATGAAAAAATGGCGGCCGACGGACCTTTTATATACATGCAGGTGAATGGCGCAAGTTACCGAGAACGGTCAAAAACGGACCCCATTTAGGCATAAAAATTTTTAGAACATCACCGATAACTTTTTGCCCTGATATGTGCACGTTACTTCAAAAAAGTTACTAAAGTAAATCGTAAATCGCAAAAAAAAAAAGTAAATAATACGTTACTGATTTACTGAGTCTCGAAAGCAACGCGTTAGTTTGCCTCAAAAGTAGCGAGTTCCTTAGCTCGTCACTTTGACGACCCAACTGTTTTTGTTTCGTAGTGTTTTTGTTTTCTTCGGTTAAGTTTCTCCGCTTCATTAATGTTAGGTTCCTCCGCTTCATTTCATCACCGGCGATGTTGGAGAGTTGTTCTATTGACGCGCTCGAAGGAACGGCAGTGTTGTGCTTCAGAAAGAGCTGGTTAATCTGGGATTTCCTTCTCTTTTGTTCTCTCTGCTTCTGAAGTTCGAAGTTGACGAGGGGTTCTCTGCCTTCCCGCTTTGGCAACCTCCGAGTTTACAATCTGTCTGTACACGATTCTAGAAAATTCAACCAACAAACCTTGTTGCGTTCTCAGGGTGAAGGACATTCCCAGTTGTAGAGTTCGACCCACGTGTCCAACAATAAAACGTTGCTATACTCTCATACTGATTAGTTGTTTTCCGAGTCGCCCATCTGCCTTTGTCGCAATAGACGCGTACTAAGGTTAAAATTAAAACGAGGTTGTTTAGATAGCGTTGTTCATGTTACCCTTCAAAAGTAACGAAATACCGTTACTTGTTACTTAGAATTTAAAGCAACTAAGTACGTTACTCGTTCCTTTTCTAAAAATGTAACTAAATACGTTACTCGTTACAAAAAGAAAGTAACTAGGTAGAAGTAACTGGTTTCTTGTAACGTGTTACGCACATGTTTGTGTTTGACTGAGATGTTCTGAAACTTTGGTATTTGGTTTGGACCGCTAAGGCTACATCTGGGCGTAGAATGAGCGTTCGGTAATGCGTAGTTTATTTTTGCAATAAAAAGAATTAAATTTAATTCGGAGGGGAGTTTTGTAAATGTATAAAAAGTACATTTACTCAAAATATAAAGATTAATTAACCATACCGATCGAACGGAATAAATGTTACAAATCGCGCAAGGACATTGCTTTTCGGCGGATTTTTTTAACGTTCGTCCCATTCGATCACTAGTGTGGTTAACACATCCGCACATTTCAACAATTTGCCTTTTAAAGATGGCCCGTGATGTACACGAGGTGTTAATACGTGGTCATCAGGACTAGCTGTGGAAGTCGGAAAATTAATCTACCAAATGCTTTGTTGTGAGCACGCGCTTATCCGTAAGGCACATAGCTGCTGCAGCCAGAAAATACTCCCTTTTAGACTTTGGTCTTGTCATCAGCTAATGTCGTAATCTGATTGGCTGGGGTGCGGTGATAAGATACTTGAGATTCACCACACCCTTCACTTCTTACACAATAGAAAAACTTTAAATGCTGACCAAGTTCTCTACATGAGCTCGCTTAAATCATTAATAATTTGTATACACGTTGTGAAAATAATTTACCTAGTCAAGGGAAAACGATTATTTGTTAGTACAAAGATCAAGCACTTGGCAACAATATTATTGTCTGCAAAAAAAAACTGTCTCATTCTAATACGTATGCTAAGCGTGTCGACTCTCATTGATATTATATTCGTATTTGTTTTTTATTAGTTTGCGGAATAGGGTAACAAACTGTTGCCAAACTTATAAGGTACAGATAATCACGTTCTGACTGCTGCAGGGTTAGACATTTTCACGGAAAGCGGTTGTGTTACGTGTAACATAATTATGCACAATTTTTGTTTGTACATTTGGATTTTAGTTGCAGGTATTACATGAATACGTTATCAGGAATATTTAGTTATTCAATCGAAATACAAATACATTAGGCAATTTTTACGAAAAAACGAAAACCGTAAAATTTTCTTTTTTTTCTTTTCTGAGAACAATTTATTTTACTATTTTATCGCGAAAGGAGAGCAAACGCTAATCTAGTGACATACAACTTGTAGAAACGTGGGCCATGGCCTATTATAAGTTCGAGCTTCTCGCCTTGTGATCGGTTCTTCGACGCTCTCGTCGGTTAATGCCATAATCTGATTGACTGCAGAGGGGGCTTGAGACTCACGTACCCCACCATGCATTTCTTAAACTGTCGATGACTCTGCGGAGAGAAAATTCGTCTGCTCCCTTTGAAGGGGTTGTGATGACGTCAGAACGCTGAGCTTTGATTGGCTCGGACTGAAAGATAATGGGTAGACCTCAAAGCAAGCTACCTCGAGGTCTACCCACTATCCTATAATCAGAGACAAGAGCGCGGCGTTAAAAAGTCAACACAACCCCTGCAAAAGAAGCAGACGAACTTGCCTTAGTGTTTATGTAGCCACCACACGAGCAGCTTGCACATTATCATCAAAACTCAGCAGCCGTTTTAAATTTCGAAGATATATCCGGTTTAATACGTTTGCGACATCATTTACATCAGTGCATGTCACGCGTTCACTGTTTACACCGAGAACTAAAATTCGATAGACAACAGGCTCACTCTGCCAAAAACATCGCGAAGCGAAGGATATTTTTATTCCAATAATAGGACACGCCCTTCCCCTTTCTAGAAAACAGAAAAAGAAAATGACGCGTCAACGTAAAAATAAGCATTAGGGTAAGAACTTTCACAACCATCGCATCTTTAAAAAATAACTTTGTTTAGATATGCATCAAATGCGACGAAGGAGCGATAGCACTTGTTGTTTTGCTTTTAACCGAGCAGCACTTTCTATCATATTTTAGCGCATACATTTCTCCCCTAAATTTAACAGAAAAAGTGAGACGTCGCTTCACGATGACATCATAATGCCACGTGGTGTCAGTGTAACAAAGACTCCACGTGTCACGGTAGTGTCACGTTACAATGTGACGTCACGTAACACTACGAAGTCACGGGGCACCACGACGACGTCACATAGCAGACCAGCACAGGCAACAAAGGGTCGGTAGAGGGTTTCCACATAAAGTCATCGCTTTCAAAACGAAGCGAAGCCAGAACACGGCAGCAACATGTCGACAAAACTAGAGGCACCAAAAAGTCAAACGTTTTAACGAGCAAGTTTGGTACGGAAATCACCCCTGTACGGTTTATTGCACGTGCAATTCCAGGGTGCCGAGAGTGGCTGCAGTTTGCGGGGCCGAAGCGTGCCAAACATTCGCAGTAATAAGTTGCCGGAGTGTCACAAAACAGCTCATCCGTCGTGAGACTAGAATGCAAAGACCGGTTCACATATTTGCGTTTGACTGTCATCATGTGCGCTACGATCCCTTGTGACGGCTCACGACGACATACCACACTGGCGCTATAGCTATCGGGCAGCCCCGGGAAACTTACTGTCTGCGGATATTGTACGCATCGTTTTTCACCGTGAGCTTGAAAGCATTCTGACAATTCTATGAAAGACCATTTTCTAGGAACGAAGAGTATAATTTGTCTCGCAAATACTGCGAAATTTTCAGGCTAGTCAAACCGAGATCGAAAGGGTTCCAGGGCTGCCGGGTGGATTGTGCCAGTGTCTACCCTCGTTGTAAGCGGTCACAAGTGGTAGTAGCGTAGTCGGTGTCAGTCGAACACAAGTTTGTTAACCAGCCTTAAAACGCGGGGTTGATTTAGCAAAGATACCTAAAAGCCGAAGAAGTAGATCACCTCCCTTCACCTTTTTCTCTCTCTCTCTCTCCCTTTCTCGCTTTTACTCTATCAAGAGTTTGACATCCTCGCAAAGTCGTGTCGTGTCCGCCTCTTTCATTCTTCTTTTCTTTTTTTCTTTTTTATCTTAGAGGGATTTGTATCCTTACAGAAGATAAAATTTTCAAGCAAGTTAAAAAAATATGTGGGCAGTTTGTGTTCCTTTTATACAAACTGTTATGTTTCGCAGAGCTGGTGAATGAATGTTTACTTCGTTCGGTGCAAACAGATAATGTCATTTGGGAAAATTAGTCCTTAAATATGTCTACCTTATCGTTGTACTTATCACACCAAACGGGCGACGAGGACATTTCTGTTACATGGCGCTTGTGCTCCTTGGGATGGGGACGTACGTATCATTTCTTTACATCTGATTGTGCCTTTATTCCACTGTGCAGTTTCAGGTTAGGTGAGTGCCAATATGGCGAAGACTTTCGGACACATTCATTGCTTACATTTTATTCATACGGTAACTATGGTAGCTTTGGCTTGTTGACAGCAACGGTCTCACCACACGTAATGCCCATGTGTTGACTGGTAAATAAGCTCTAGCCTGTGACGTACCAGACCGTCTCGAACTTCATATGCTGTGGGGAAAATATTATAGGTAGACTATTTAAAGCTCTGAGTAGGAGATATAATTTAATGGTACCTTGCAGTAGACAACTTTGAGGAGTATGCCCCCGATAGGAAGATTTCATAATGGTGAACAAAAACAGAACTATCAAGCCCAGTTGGACGTAAAAACTTGCAGGCAATGGAATTTGCGGCTTCTTGCCCGAGAACTAATCAATACTGTTTGTCATAGAACCAAAAATAAATTTTGAACTCACCTTTCAAAATTTTTAGTGCATTTATAAGCTTTTCGAAAGATTTCAAGCATCGCTTGCCTGCCGATCCAGCTGACTGGCACATTGCATTAACATTTCGGGTTTAAGCCGACAACAACCACATGTAGATAACATGACACCCCATCATGTAACATGCAAAAGTTTTTTTGTCAACAGGTGGTTCTGCAACAAGTGCGTTTCCCGCTATTTTCACTTAAAAAGCAAGCGAAAACGAAAATAAAACAACAATGTATGAAGAACTTGGGGACGGTCAGATCAACGCTTTCCTGCATATCACCCGAAACAGCAGAAGAAAGTTGAAGAGGCTGGATTTTTTTTTTATGCGGAGATACAGCGCATGGTTTGGACTCATAATAGACCCTTTTCAAAACCACATCAAGCAACATTGGCGGTCACCATTTTTTTCGCGGCACGTAACGTGTGATTGGATCCGAGTGCTCTCCGAACGCGGACGCAACCCTCGTGTCCAATGCATGCTCAGAACGCGTTCCCAAACAATGGCAGACGCGGATAATTGTCACACCAGCAACTAGATGGCGCTCACTTTTGAAAAAAAAGGTCTATTCAGGGCCTTAGTACTAGTTTGAATATCGGGATATCTTCAAAAAGGGGGCATACACCTCCAAAAGTTGGCTTTCAGGTTACAACCTCAGGGTTACATCTAGCTCACTTCACCTTACTGATTGCCCCTTTCCCGACTGGCGACCCTAACGACATCCCGTTCTTCAGGATAGACTTTGACGTGGTTGTCGTGGTCGTCGAGCTCGTAGTCGCTCTCGCTTCTGTGCCGGTCGACGTGGAAGTCACCGTGGACGTCGCTGACGTCGCGGCCGTTTTCGACGTGGCTTCGTCGTTGGTGTCCAGGACCTTGATGGGAACCAGCCTCTCGTGACCCGACGGCCTTTCGGACTTCTTGGGAGCCTCAACAATGAGGAAGCCGTCCGAGGTGATAGAACACTTCACGGTCTCCGGAAGCACGTCCTTGGGCAAGGTGCACTTGCGGGTGAACTCCCTGGAGATGACGCCCAGCTCGTCGGTCCGGTCGCCGTGCTTGCCGTGGATGATCACGAAGTTGTCCACAGTCTTCACCTGCGCACAAGCGTGGCAATTGCTGGGAAACATGTCGCGCGGCAAAGGTTACCTCACATTTGACGACACCGGCGAGCTTTCGCTATACAGTATGATATAAAACCTTTTAACAGGGAATCGTAGTAGACTGTTTTTCTCCTCTGCTACGGTACCTGTGAAGAAAACGCCGCAGCTGCGCATGCGCGCCGCCAACCTTGTCTGCATTGTTCAAGGTCTTCTGGCGGATTACGGAGCGCTATCCGGGTGCTTAGCGGACTGCGGAAACGGTCTACTACTATTCCCTAGGGTGCCTACATGTTTCCGCTCCGCTTTAGGGTGGCGCCAACTTCTTGTTACCCTTCCCAGACCCTCTCCCACCGCCATTTTTTCCCACTTCTTATTTCGCTAAACGTACACAACGTTGAGTTTCTGTAGTCTCTACACACCGGCAACACTGTGAGGCCACTTCCGTTTCCGTTCATGAGAGGAGTCGGAGGCTGAGAGGGATGGCGGTCGTCGTGGCTGTCGCTCTCTTTATTCGTGTGTTTCATATTTTGAAGTTGCAAGCAGGAAGTGTGCGTTGCTGTTACCGAAACTCGAGTTCTCGCGACAAAATAGAACGCAACAGACCGGCATTGAACGCCGAAACCTCGCCGTCGGAATGAGAGCGGTGAGTGCTCCCTAGCCCTAACGAGGATTCGCGGCGTAGTCCGAGCGCACGACCGGCGAGTGTGACGAAATGGTCGACAAAAACAGCGGAGGTTGCCATGGTAACAAGGTAGGCAACACTGGTTTGTCGGCAACAGGTATCACAAACGTTGTCGCCACCCTAAACAGCGGAGCGGTGGAAACATGTAGGCACCCTACTATTCCCCAATGACAACACAACCCTTACAAAACTGTTTGTTTAATTTCTAGGCTCTAGAAATTTTTTACAGTAAATAGTCTATAAAGGCTATATGTATTTTAAGAAAAATGATGCCACTTCCTATCCACTGGCTGGAGCTTTTTAACCGCTTCATTTGTAGACTTTCTATAGAGCGTAGAGTGTAGAGATTGAATAGAAATTGTATAGGAAACAGATAGATACTTTACCAACATTTCTATCCCCTCTTTACAAACTATTGGGCCATTTTTATGCGAAAACGAAATCATAATGATTAATTTTAGGTTTTTCAGAATGATACGAAAACATGCACTCGCCACTTGAAGTGTGCACGTAGTCATACATCACAAATTCATCCGCCACAGAGCACCAATAACACTAGTAATTCAGTAGTGTTCACTTCTCCACCGCGATATACGAGGGGGGACCCAAAAGGAACCGGAATGTATTTTTACAATACTATGAATTTATTGCTACACGTTCAAACTTCAGTCACCTTCGAAGTACTCTCCACCTAATGCAATGAACTTGTCGAAACATTTTTTTGCCCAATGCTTACACACCTCTAAAACCCTCAATGTCGATGTCATTGAGTTTTTTTTTTTTTTACGTTTTTTACATCGGCAATCAGTATCCATTTGAGGATTTTATTCATGCGACGAAACGAAAAAAAGCTACACAGTGCGAGGTCGTGTGAATAGGAAGAGTGAGGTGTGAGGGGTCATGCGGTTTTGGTCAGAAACTTCTAAACACCGAGCGCGAAGTGGGCCGAATGGCAACCCGAGTTGTGGCGGGACTGGTCCGTCCACCATGACAACGCGACTGCCCAAACCGCGCTGAGTGTTCAGCAGTTTCTGACCACAAACAACACGAACCCTGTCCACCATCCTCCCTAGTTACTCGACCTCACCCCGTATAACTTACGTTTGCTTCCCCGCATAAACAACATTTCTCAAGGCGAAAGTGTTTTCCGACGTGGAAGAGGTGAAACCAAAACGCGGCGGAACCACTAAAGGCTATTTTGAGCTTTGAAAGTAACGTCTCAACAAGTGCATTGTATCAGGCGGGGAGTGCTTTGAGGGTGACTGGGATTTGAACTAGACAAATTGAAAACACGATTTTGTACGAATAATTTTCGGTTTCTTTTAGGTCCAACCTCATATACCTACAAGTTAAAGGCAATCATTCGAACGAGGACCGCCCCAGAAGATGAAAAGATTACAAGTATGATGAATTTTTCTTGCCAATAATTTACACAAAATGTGGTCTCTAAAAGTTGGCGAACCAGTATATTGGCAACCATGAAGTACTGGAAGAAGAGATAAATATAGAGAAAAATGTGCCTCCGCAAGGAGGCTCCAACTGGGTGTGATGTCACTTCTCCGCACTGCATCTTATTATTCTATCGATTCTAGCCTATAGAAATTATATATAAACATGGTGACAGAAAGTCTATTGAAACGCGGCGAGGGAAATTATGACATTTTTATCGTTTGTACCCTAAAGACTTCGATTGAAAAAATCTATATAAAATCTATCGAAAATTGTCGATAGGACGCGACTGGGTAGGAAGTTGAAAGGGTCGTTAAAATTTAGATGAAATTCCTATAGAATGCATTATTTTTTTAAGGGAGATATTAGGGCGTACTTTTAGATTGCGGTCATTTGTATATAGTAAATCAGCTAGGCGTGCAAGTTCGTCCGTTCTTCGCTCACCTTTTGCGTTTTGTTACCCACCAAATACGCCCAATCACGGAGCGAGATGTGTGGAAATATAATAAGCTATGCGCCCAGCGTATCCTGGGCTGTCAGTGACACCAACGCGCGACTCTGACGTCATGCAGCTGCGGTGGCGCTGCCGTCGACGCGGCGCCATTTTGGCGCATATGCAGACGTATCACTAGACGCGGATCTGGTTCGCGCGCACGCGCATTGCGCACAGGTGGTGGGGGTACGTGCGAACTTGTCTGCAAACAGCGTGTGTGTAGGTCTAAGCTTATCGTCTGCCATAAACAATGGTTTTGGCGGTGCGGAAGGAATATGGTGAACGTTCGCTGTCATCGCGTGCTTAACCGCAAAGGGCAGAAATCACTCTGTACGGACCTAGTTCCTGCTGCAAACAGTGCGTTGGTTTTATATAGCGTGACGGTCACGGGCACCCATGAAAAAAGCGGAAGTTCCCGTGCCTGAGTGACGTAATCCATCAGTCTGGCGTGTCTCGTTATGGTCCCTCAAACGCTGTCGCACGCACGTGGTGCGGCAGTTTGCGTCCACGTACCTCGAGGTCGTCCGCATCGAAGTGCCCGACGTCCAACCGGAGGCAGAACCTATCGGAGTCGTTGGTGAGGGACGTCCACACAGAAGGCTTGAGCGGACTGCCGTCGAAGAGACGACGGCGGATGTCCTGGTAGCGGTTCTCATAGAACCGGTACTCCCGGTCCAACCTGGAGTACTGGTCGTTGAGCCGACTCCGCAGGTCTCCCAGGTCGTCCGACAGTCGACTGCTCGAGAAGATGGACGACATGGTGCTGTGCTTCTAGGGTTTCGATGAGATGATCTGGTGGCGTCGCGATTTTGTGACGAGGCAGGTTTTCCTTAACCTTCGTTTCAAAGGTTTTCTGTTTATTCTTCTGTTCGCCACAACTGACAGCAACTGGTTTGGCCCTTCCCACTTCCCAGGGAGATATTTTAGCCGGAGGCCGTCACAGGTACACCCAGGAGCGTGTTCAGCTCCCGTGACTTGTAAATGTTTTCCGTTGTGTTTTGAAACCTGCAAGAACCAAGTGAGAAGACAAATCATGAAGGGGTAATTATGACTGCTGAACTATTTAGAAAGAGTATAATTGACGTCGTATTTTTTTTCTCAATATTCTGACCATGCGACAATGTAATTAAAATGTTATAAACATAATATCATGTCACGGTATGAACTGAGCACCATAACCTGACTCAGTTGTGAAAATAACACGCCGGTGAAACGGCATTAGGTAAAATACAATAGGCTCGTTCGATTTACCTGCACTTCTTATACCGGTGCAGAGAGGTTTAGGGCTAGTGCACTTCCGGTATGTGTATTGAAATACGGCCGGAAGTACGCCTTCCTACACGTTTCTGCACTGGTGTACAGGAGGGGCAGGTAAACCGAACAAGTTCAATGTATTCAAAGGTGCAGTCACCATAGGCCGTATTTAGTGGCGGCCATTAGCGGCGAGATGCTTTAGTGGCGCCCTTCTACGGTTCCCCCTTGTGACGTCATTACCTTGCAAACAACAAGTTCGATGGTGTTTGTAAATAGCATGGTGGAAGCTTGAAATCATTGCGCCCTCAAAGGAACACTGCCAACACCGTCAAAATTAAAGTTCTTTCATTCCTCTTATTTCCGTCGATGATAAATCCTTTTCTGACGTCATAGTCAGCGTTCGGCCAATCGTGGAAGGCCGACCAAAGCGACATTTTCGGTCGCGCACGTCGCCAATAGCTGGGTGCGGACCTGCTGAGTGCATGCTGATGGTAACTTCCATAGTTCTTTGCAACGTGTATTCCTCACCATCAAGATTGAAGGTCTTAGCAGCCTAATATTGTCACCTCGTTTTGAGGTTGCGCAGCGAACAGCTCACTCAAATGTGGCGTCCCCTGACAGAGAAGAAGACGCCCAATTAAACATCGTCTTCTTAAATTGTTTTGATTTGGAATGGTAAATAAAATGCGGGCGCGAGTCACCCCGCACGTTTCTCTCGTTAGTTGTGCATGCAGCAGCATTTGTGAATCAAAGGCGACAAAAGAAGTATTCGGGCGGGGTTAAAATGGAACGTTCTCAGTGTGGCCTCATAAAGGGTCCTAAGGTAGTGATATCATATAGCTAACATCATCAGAGCCTGGGGCTAGTGAAGTTTTAATTTACTTACGAATATGCGAAAAAGAAAACCTACACAAATGCTAGTTGTAAAAATTACAACACACCATGCGTTTTTACTTTACAGTATTATTACACGTAAACGGATAACTATTGTAGTATTCTCTGGTAATTGTTGTCAAACAATTAACATTTTAAGAACATTAAATATGAGATGTGAAATTTCTTAAGAGCGTTTGAATTTTAGCACAATGTTTTTTGGGCCCCAATTGAATCATTCTTCTACAAACTGTCGAGTTTCGATTAACACTACATCAAATTGGTATTATAGTACAACCTTTGCACTTCACTAATATCTTCAATGTTCCGAATTTCTCACCCAATTGAAATATATATATATATATATATATATATATATATATATATATATATATATATATATATATATATATATAAGTGGGCAACAACGTTAGAAAGGTAAACACTAAGAATATTCTCATCTTGGTTAAAAAACTAAGTTTAATCCAAACTTAAGGTCCTTCGCGAACAGTCACTTGTCGAAGAAACAATGAGAAGAAAGCAAGACATGGAGGAAGCTATACTTAGAACCAGCTGTGTAAAGTTCAGTCACACCACATCTGCTTAAACAAGCTGTCATAACTCATTCGGCGCAACAAAAAAAAAATAAAAAAATAAACAAAGGGAAACATTGAATGGTACGCGTTGTAAATGAATTCCCTTGCGCAAGAAGAAAAAAAAAAAAAGAAAAAAAAAGTGAAACAAACAAGACGCAGTGACGTCATGATGGCTCCGAGATGACGACGCCACTCGCCAAACGCGCACGTTAGGAAAGGATGGAAGTTTGTTCAACTGCGTTCATACAGACCAACCACGTAATCGCAAGACTATAAATAGTTCGCTGTCCTCCCAAAAAAGCGTCACTACATTTGTGTTTATCCAGGTGCGCTGATTCGATATCATTCCCCGCGTTCTGGCTCTGCAAGCGTGCTCAGCAACTGTGTACGTTTGGCCGGGTCATGATGGTGATGAAGCGTTAAATCCCGCAAAATTCAACAAAGGCCAAAATTTAATCAGAAGGGTCTCTTGTGAGAACACACACTGTGCGAAGTGCCTATAACTGCGTATATAGACAGGTCGAAAAAGAAAGACATTAGTAGAGTGCGGAGGCCGCGCGGTAAAAGCTGCATGCCCGTCTCAGACCAATGCACCACCTCCCTGCCATCACCTGGCTCCAGTTTCCGCGCAGGGGTATGGACGGGGGCGCGATCACGTGGCGCAAGACAGGCGTATCAATGGTCCAACGAGGACGTAGCTCTCACTGCGCAGTCAGCTTACGGGTGGGCGGAATACAGCTGGTGTAGATGGTCCGTTTTTTTCTGACTGGAGCCTAAAATTAGCTACGCTTAACGGTTTGGTCCCACACGTCAAACATATCATGTTAGCAACGTTTTAACACAGAATGTGTTTTACCAGTCGAATTCTAGGAGAAAACCGTCACGAAGAACCGTTACGAAGGACTGTGACTACACAGGTGTGTGACATCGTGATGTACAGGGACGTCACATAACGTCACTGACCCTGTGACGTCACGGTATCACGTGTTATAATGAAGCCACTATGACACAGCGCGATGTCATGAGGTCACATGACTCTGTTACGTTGCGTGACGTCATGATGCTTTGTGACAGCGTGATGTCACCTGGCCCCATGATGTCGTGTGATGTCGCAGTCATTTGACCCGATGACGTAACGTGAATTCACACACCGTACTTCTCCAGCTCTTTCACGACACATTTTCTGCTTCCCAGTCTTTGTCAGCGTGGTCAAAAAAGTGTAATATTTTAACGTTTAATCATACGGACATTTGTGATCAAGTTGTAATATGGATTATCACGCTAGTGACCGAACAGCAGACTTCCTTCCGTAGGCGGGCTAACTTTGGTGTTTAGCCCCAAGAGTACAAAATAACTGCCTCGGTATTAACATCTCCCGTGATTCACAACCACGGTAAAGCGAGCCATCCGGAGTTCTCGCCTCGCCTCGGACATCAGCGCAAAAGCCGCTAATGAAGAAAAAATATATATATATTCGGCGCTATCTCGTTTGTCATGGCAGAAAACTACCTCCCAGAAAGCTAAAACTCTGTTAGAATGTGACGCGGCGCTAATATAATGCGGAAGTTTGGGAACATGACCTTACTGGTCCACAAGATAAAACAGGAAAGTCGAAATTTCTTTATAGGCCGACGTCCACTTAAGACTGATATCACCAAAATGAGAAATCACATTGTAGGCGCCGGTAGAATTTGTTTTACTAAAACAAAAAGAAAAAAAAAAAAAAACTTGTGAGCAAGAAAGACGAAATCTTTGTCTTCCGTGGTGACAGGTGTATTTCACTGATATTAACCCCACATGCGTCCGCATCGTCAGTTCTTGTACTCAGATATAAAGCTTAGACGTCGGCTAAAAAGAACAGTATTATATTTCATGTTTTGATCCAGGTAACATCATGTTCTCGGACGTTGGCCTTCTATCAGCACCACTATAGTGTCACATTCTCACTGAGTTTCAGTTTCCTGTGATGCGTAGTTTATGCACGCGGGCCGAAAAACACGGTTGAGTTTTTTTAGAAACACCCGGTATCTCAAACTTTAGAGCGCTTGACTGTCGATCCTGATTTTTATCTGTTATTTGTTCCTGACTTAGGTATTGAGGTACAAGGCTGGGGCAAGATGAGAAGGAATAATTGCGGGGGCGCCTTACCAAAACCGCTAGCCTTGTATCTGCTCCACGAGTGGTAACTTTAGTGCGCTACTACGCTTCTCACGCGCTGAGAGTCTTTCTCAAAATGGCTGGTTTAGTGGTTTTCGATAACGCTCAGCAAGTTTCTAATTGGAACCGTATGTCTATTTTGACTAATTAAAAAGTTAATTAGTGAATTTTAATTACTTAGCCGACTTATCGCAAAGATTAGCCACCCACATAATGTCCCCCTGGGCGTATAACTCACTCGCACAAACCGCGTAAATGTAGCTTTTATGGCTTTTTTATAAACAAATCTGCAAGAATAAGAAAACAAACTGTATATATATATATATATATATATATATTGTGGGAGCCGGGGGTGAAAGACGAGGCAGAGGGCACGTGACAGGCGGCCGGCGGAGAAGGCACGAGCTGGGCGAGACATTGCGTGCTGAGCGAGGCTGGTAGCTGGACAAGGAACGTCGAAGCCAGGCTGCCTAGCCTGGCCCATAACAAACCCCGGAGCGGTCCACCAGCGAGGTCTGGAGCAAGACCGGTGGAAACGGCGAGCCCGGGCCATATGACCTGGGCTATGACGATCCCGGGGTGGTTCCGCAGCGAGACTCGGGCATTGATAGCCGGGGACAGCCAGCCTACGCAGCGCTGGCGTGGGAAAGGCGATCCGCAGGCCTGGACACGGACCCCGACTGTGAGCTCTGATCGACGGGCGACAACAAAGGTCGGCGGGCCCGGACCACCGGCTCTCGATGACGGGCAACCGAGAGGTACAGTTAACCCATTCGCTGTCTTCTCGTTGCAATGTGTGATTCCCTGGGTGACGGGCGGAACGCATACCGATCGGGCGACGATTATTAGTATAAAGGGACCTCCCCCATAAAGAACCCCCACAATATATATATATATATATATATATATATATATATATATATATATATATATATATATATATTCTATGAAATAATACTAAGTTGGTCAAGTTCCCAATCTTCTGACGGAAAAATTTTTCTATCGCAAATCTCATAAACGACAATTTTTTTTTTTTTTTATGACTGCGGGGTATTTCGGTAGGCCTAGGATGCCACACACTAAGGGTGATGTGTAATTTTGGTCAAAACCCGACTCAATATTGAT